TTCAAAGACTTCTATCCTACTTAGCATCTTTATGCTTTTAGCGTGCTCACATGTTGGAGTGTGGACAGTTAGGTCTGAGTGGGAGATGTCAGCAGCTTGGCCCAGAGTTCTGCATGGGAGTTACTAGGTACTTGGGATAGCTGTTTTTAACGAGACTATTTAGAGCCAAATGCTCAAAAGGGCCTCAACCCACAGCCTCTAGGTGAGCACTTGTAAATTTGCATGTGTGGGCAAAAATGATTGTGGACAGAATTGTGAGTGCAAACACAAGGCATACAGGGGTTTGGGTTTGGTGTGGGGCTTTTTGTTGAACTTAGGCATTCACTTTAAAAATCATACCAAGCCCTTTCCCTAGAGTTGCTGGGAATGCATTATTAGAAGGACCAAAACTTGGATGGGTAGGGAAGAGGGTTGGTTACAGGTCACCCTCTCGTCTGGAAGGAGCGCTTCTTCAAAAACAAACTTTTAAAAAGAGGACTCCTTGATAGAAGAATGTTAGATTTAGGGAGACGATCTGACCCGCTCTTCTCTAACTTTGTCACATAGGCTAGTACAAGTGAGAGCAACTGTTTAATCCTTTACGTGGATTGGGGAAGATTAACACTGATGCAGAAATATATTTTAAAAAAATATTTGAAACAAGAGATGGGCATCTGGATTAGATTCAAATCTTCCAATCTGAACCCACCTTTATGGTTCTAAGTTAGGTTCAGATCTGTAAAGGGCCTGCTTCTGAGCTGGGTACGGCTGAAACCTTGCAAGAGCTTGTGAGATTTTGACACCGTTGGATATGAATTTGCACTTTAGCCCTGATTTAGCCTCAAACTCCATCCTAACCCTAATTCAGATCAGAATTAAAACCAACAAAAAGACACGAATTTCTAGCAGGTTCTTGTTTCATTCTACTCCATTAGATGAGTGCCAATGGATAGAGACATTCATGGACCTAAAGGCCATGAGGTTATTGATTCATGCAGTAGATCTAGGAGTGGGTTGACTGCTGGATTTGTGACTGCTCCTAGCCCTCCAGAGATTTGAGGTAATAGTCTCAAGTCTGCCCCTTCAAGGGATAGTGCTGTTTCTGAATTGCTTTGCTGATGAGAGCTATAGCTCCTAAGGCAGCTGTTGCTGCGGGGCAACTGCAGTGGCTGTGCGAGCTGTTCACATTCTGAGCCAGGGATCTAGCTAGGAAAAAATGAAGTGTTGGCTTGAGAACCCTGCTTAGATGAGCCCTTGCTTAGAGGAGATTCCTGAACTGGGACTCGGATGTGGAAAAGGCTATGCCATGTTCTGATGGTCAGAATGACCAACAGGAGCATGCACTGAATAATTAGAGAGGAGGAGAGTTTACAGCAACCACAGGTTGTTCTGTAACTCACTATACTGGAATCTATATAGAACTGTCTAGTAGGTACTGAACAATGCCCAATACAAGCAAGGTCAGAGGAACTGACACAAACCAATTTAATTTTTGTTCACAAATCATGATAAAACCTCTTCTTGCAGGGGACTATGTCCTGTCCTCACAGCGGAATAGATTAGATTGCTTGGGTCTTTTCCACCTCTAATTGGCAATCCAATGATTTATTGGCCAGGGTAACATTTTTGAAAGTCCCATTTTTACAAGTGGTTTAGGTACTTGGGCTCCTACGTTTAATTGACTCAATGGGAGACTTTGGAAGATAGGACTTGTGCTCCTAAAACATGTAAGCACTTGTGAAAATGTTTACCCCAGATCTATTTGGCAGGATTTAAACACTGCATTTTTTTGAATTGCTTCTTAGTTTTTTTTATGCTTATTTAAATATGTTGGTGCAACAGAGGAGGGTATTTCTATGTAACAAGTTTAGTGTAATGCCAACTTTTTGGTGCAACAGAAGCTCATCTTGGTTTTTATTTTTGAAGAATGATTGTTTCTGCAGACCCAGTTTTGGGCGTGTGGCGAAATGCACTGGGGCAACAATTTCTCAAGCAGCCTCTGAAACTGCAGCCATCTTGTGCACCGAAGTGTTTTTACATGTAAAATCAGGAATTGTCCAGACTAACGACACTTGTACCTGCAGATTCTTGGACATCCCCTTGCATCCCTTGTGTGGGCCAGTTCAGTTTGTTTGAGCAGATTTCTGTTTTCAGGTTTGCGCGATCTTGCCCACAGTTTGAGGCCTGGCGTTTTTTGGCTTTTTTTGGCTCTTTTTGGTTCTTCATAGTCAGCAGCTTTTAGCTCATTAATAGAAGCTCTTTGTATGAATAATCTCAGATTATTTTCATCCCAAACGCTCTTACAAGAGTATCACTAAAATTTGCTTAGCAATACAGCCACGTCCAGGATGTGACCTATCAGCTGTTTAACAGTGTACAGCAACACAATAATTTAGGACAGAAAGTGAAGACTACAGTATCCAGTTTAAAGTGCAGAGTGAATACCTAGGGACTGAGCTGGTCAAGTAGGGAGCTAGATGGTGATACAAGGTTCACTCTGAAGTTTGGATTCCCATTCACAGTAAAAGACCATAGCTCTCATGTAAGTGGGGCCCAGCACTGATAATGAAAATGGTGCCTTAAGTCTAGTCCAGTGAATGGTTTTCACCACAGGCAGGGAGTCTGTTTTTCCAAGAGAGGATAGCACTGTGTAAAGCTAGGCAGCTCCTCTTTATCATCTGTGCTCTTTTATCTGATGTTCCGGTTAGGTACCCCATGAGTTGAAAGAGAAGTGGCATAAAGGTCACAAATACTGAAAATAATGCAAGTCACAGCTTGGTTTTTGGGGGGCAGCAGATTGTTGACATGGCACTGCTGGGAAGCAAAGGAAAGCAAACCAAACTAACGGTTCATGTTTTACAACAATCGCCATGTAGCTGTTTCCTCCAAGCAGCCTGGCATTGGGGAAACACTAGTGTAAATATATTGTAGATGATAAGCTGGCATGATAAGCCCTTTACTCTGATTATATCCTGGAGCTACCAGTCCATACCTAGTAAAAGCATCCTGATAAGGGCTTAGGGGTGAATAGCCTCACATCTGTTTACAGAGGAATTCCCAAGGGAGAGGAGATCATGCCATTTTAATGGTGCCTTGGGAAGTGCAGAGGCCATGGGACTGGCCCACTGAGCTAGAGTCAGGAGGAAACAAGGAGCTGAGCCTGGGGGGGGAAGGCAGCTGTGGGATGCCAGCCCAAGATGGACACCCCTCCCTTCCCCCTTGCTACTATTTAAACACCACCATTGTGCCTGGTGCTGTGCAAGACACAGATCAGGAGTCCTTACTCCTTAGAGCTTGCAGCCGGGCCAGAGAAGGCAGTTAGCTTTGTTTTTTACCTCCCTTTGTTAATCTAACACACTCTTATTTCTATGTCTGGCCCTTGTGGAAGGAGCAAGCCTCTGGGAGGGTTTAACTGATGGAAGGGCAGAGGGTCTGGTGTCCCAGGGGCAGGTGGCCATTCCAGGCACAAAGGACAGTGTAGAAGGAAACAAAAGATAGTGAGGCTGGTATTGTTGAAGGAAGCACAATAGACATATGCCAGATCAGGGTTATTTGGGACTGCAAAGGTGCAGAGACATGGTTGGTATGTAAGGTTCAATGGACCGGTTAGACACAGGTGATGCTGGGACTGAGGGTCCTGGAGGTAATTTTGGCTGTGGTGGTGTGGAAAGACTGGGAGGGGGACTGGTGGGCATGATGCAGGCAGCTGGGAGGCAAGTGAGGTAGTTGCAGTAGTCAGAGCAGGAGATGAGAGTTCCTAGGCAAGTGTTTTAGTGCCTGGGACAAATTGGGCTAGTCAGATTATTAAAAGGAGGCGAAAGAAGTAACATACAGGAAGGAGTCTAGGTGACACAAGGGAAGTGTGAGGAGGAGGCGGGTGGTGCTGTTAAGCTGCACTGGGGAAAGCACACAGGGATTAGGAAGCCAGCAGGCTGAAGCTGGGCTGTAGCGTTTTGTTTTGTTTTTTAACTTGAGTTGGCAACAAGCCAGCATGCTGTCTTGGAATCAGATCTACTCACTGGGTAGAGGAGGAGGTCTGAGTGTCCCCAGCATAAAGGGGAGAGTAGAGGCCATGAGTAGATGAGATCACCCTGGGAGAGGAGGCGGTGACCAAGAATACAGCTCTGAGGACACCAGCAGGAGGAGCTGCCAAAGGAGACAGCAACACAGTGGAGGGGAAGGTCAGAGAAGCGAGAGAGAGGAAGGTGATGGGGCAGATGGAAGACAGAGGCCCCAAGACTTCAGGGAGAAGCCGGTGAGAACCATTTCAGTGGAGCCGGAGAGGTTTTTTCCCTCAAAACATCCCAGCCAGGTTTCTTTCCCCTGTCATTGCAATTCAGTGGAGGGTACTGTAGTGGAAGGGGCATGAGAACCAAGATTAGAGGAACAGAGATAAGGGAGGATAAGGATCCGCTAAGTACCCACAGTATGAGCTTCTCCTTGTGCTACTTCTAACCTTCAGGATTTTCAAAAAAAAAAGAGTACTTGTAGCACCTTAGAGACTAACCAATTTATTTGAGCATGAGCTTTCGTGAGCTACAGCTCACTTCATCAGATGTATACCGTGGAAACTGCAGCAGACTTTATATATACACAGAGAATATGAAACAATACCTCCTCCCACCCCACTGTCCTGCTGGTAATAGCTTATCTAAAGTGATCATCAGGTGGGCCATTTCCAGCACAAATCCAGGTTTTCATATTCTCTGTGTATATATAAAGTCTGCTGCAGTTCTGATGAAGTGAGCTGTACCTCACGAAAGCTCATGCTCAAATAAATTGGTTAGTCTCTAAGGTGCTACAAGTACTCCTTTTCTTTTTGCGAATACAGACTAACACGGCTGTTACTCTGAAACCTTCAGGATTTTGCCTTTCTTTAATTGTGCCCACCTTTTTAATTAAGCTGGCACCCCTAGCACCTGGATAGTGTTGGCAGGCCTCACTGTCTCTGTTTTCAGTGCACTTAAGGGTTTTTTTGGGGTGGAAACCTGACTGACTTTCTGTCTGTTTTGACTCCACAGGCTCACCCCTCACTATATTTACCCTCAAGCTATTGTTCAGCCTAGCGTGGTCATCCCAACCCCTGTGCAGTCTATCACATCTCCCTACATAGACTACACCTCTGCGAGCCAAGCCTACACCCAGTACACCACAGCTGCCTACGACCAGTACCCCTACGCCGCCTCTCCTGCTGCTGGGTTTGTGGGATACGGCTACACGAGCGCAGTTCAGCAGCCCATCACTGCTAGCAATCCGGCAGCACACACCACAGCTTTTGTTCAGTATCAGCCCCAGCAGCTGCAGCCTGACCGTATGCAGTAAGGGCCCTGCCCGTGCGTTCACCATGTAGGACAATCTCTTTTACAGTGGAAGGATACAAACAAAAAAGCAGAAAACAAAACCACCCAAACTTACTAGGTGTATACGAATACCTAAGCTATTTATAGTGTTAAGGACAAGCCTAAACCCTTGCTGTCTGACTGTGCTCATGGAAAAGGACTTCCGGTAAGTTTCTTTCAATCAGGGCAAATATTGTCTTGAAGATGGACTTAAATTGACTGAAATGTTAAAAGGAAAACTACAGTTTCTTGCACACTTAGTGATCTGCTTCCATTGCCTGTCATCTTCACTCCCACTCCTTCCCCATCCGTCAGTTGTTTCCTACTCCCCTCCCCTTCCCCAAATCAAATCTGCAATCCTCTCATTTACTGTCGAGGTACACAAGGTACTCGGAGAACATGGATAAAAAGCAATCGTATTTTTTGGTTGTACAAAAACTTTGTAATACTCAGATGCCTTACAGAAAAAAGAAAAAGAAACTATTTTTTAATATTTATTGCGATTTTATTCGCATGAGCTGTGAATTGCAGACAGAAGAATAGTAGTAAGTATCTGCCTTGTTTAATTCTCATTTTACTAAATTATTGTATGTCAGTAAAAGTTCCTAAGTAATTGCTGAATCACTTCAACATGCAAAAGGGAATATTGGCTTTAAGGAAAGCAGAATATTCCTTTAGTCAACGCACTGTAATATTTTTCTTGTAATTGTTACTCTTAAGATTATCTCAGACTTAGGTATATTTTTAAAATGCAAAAAATCAAACAAACCCCCCCCCCCCCCTGGAATAATGAACATATTGTCTACTTTGATGGATCTTTTGTTATGCTGCAACTAATGGAGAAATTGACAGTATTTATGTAAAAGTTAGACAGTTTTTTCAGGCTGTTGGCTGGCAAAGTTTAGGAGAATGTCAGGAATGGATTAAAACTTTTTTTACATATTTGAACAAATGGGTAAATGTAACATTTTTATGCCTATGGTACAACAGCCAAATAAAGAGACAATAGACTACCTAGGGTAAGTGCATGTTTTTACAAGGAGCAGCAATCAGCTTATTTTTTTTAACCACTCAATACTATTTTGTAGGCTCCAGCCAAATAAATATGGTATTAAAGAGACAAATGAAATTGACTTGAATTGGATACACTGGGCCTTACCCTGCAGCTGTTGTGGACTTGATCCTGAGAGGTTCTGAGCCACCTTCAAGTCTCCTGGACCCCTCTCTGCATTCAAACTACAGTTTCCAGCATCTCCCATTGGAGTCACATGCCTTTTAAGGCACCTGGCCCTTAGTTGCCCCGTACGTTGTGTTGTCATTGAGTCCAGTGTCAAGTGGGTCTTCAGTGCTCCCTTTCTAAGCTGGTAGCGTTTTGCACCCACCGTTTGCTGATGATGTAAATGATCACCCAAGGTGCTGGGCAATGGAGACTAGCAAGGAGAGCAGTATCAGTATTGTCCTGAGGGGGTTGTCATGGTATCACAAAGAAACCACATGCTTCTTCTAACGGAAGTTGTCTAAAGAGAACTGTTTTGCGCGACTGATTCCATCCAAAAGTCTGATCCGCCAAAATTCTGTCTCGTGTAAGGGCTGGGTTTCCGAGGGCCTCTTCAATCAGGCAGGCCAGAGACGTGCTAGGATTGGCACTTGCCCTCAGGCAAGGTGGCTCCAGGGCCCTGAGCCTTCCTTGAGTTGGCCACATGGTTCTATTTTATTTTCCACTTGAATTTCCTTTTAGTAATTTGGTTTTCAACTTTTGACACTCAAACAGCTGTTTTTAAAGTAAATAAAATGAATCTATTTAAACATGTTTAATTTTCCTTTTTATTTCATATCTATAAACACCTACAAACCCCCCTCCCCCCAGTGCTGGTCACTGAAAAAGTGAGACTAAGCTAGCCCTATGTTTTTTAGCACCACCCTATGCTGCTGCTAATAAGATTCTGACTCACAAAATCATTGGGGGGGGTCAGATTAGGGGCAAAAGTGGTGATACTCTATCCACAATCCCAGCTCCCACCCATTATCCTAGACTAGCTGGGTGGTTTTGCTACATCTCAGCAGTTAAATAGGTAACAATATTGACCTCTACAGTGTCATGGTTATGTTTCAGCCTGAATGCCCCATTTAGACTAGTGGACATTGTTTACTCCTGTCACTGCTGCTGTTTCAGGCTGCAGATACATTTCATACACTGTTGATCCAGGTCACGGTGGGGTGGGGCAGGGGGGAGGAGTATAAGCCTAGAACTTTTCTGTGTGTGTAAGTAATTAGGTTCTTTTGCTGCCCCAGGACTCTTAAGTGGTAGTGGCCGCCCACCTTTGAATGCTGTCTCAATAGGATTCTACACTTAGGAGGAGGTTCCTGGTCTGAAGTCACTAGCTTAGGGCTGGGCTACACTGGGGGGGGAGGGGGGGGTTTCAAACTAAGATTCGCAACTTCCGCTACGCTATTCGTGTAGCTGAAGTTGAAGTATCTTAATTAGAGTTACCTAGCTGTCCTCACGGCAGCGAATCAAACGCGGCGGCTCCCCCCTCAACTCCACTTACTCTTCCTGCTGAGGTGGAGTACAGGCGTCGATTCAGGGATCGATTTATAGTGTCTAGATGAGACACGATGATCAATCCCCACCTGCCGAGCTGGTGGGTAGTGAAGACGTACCCTTAGAAATACTGTAAGGGCAGCAGATTATTTGGCTATATATATATATATCTCAAGCCTTTTGATCAATGGTTTTGGTGGTCCTAAAACCCAAATCTGTTGATGTGCAAGTGACACTTTTTTTCTCTCTGCACCTCCTGTCAGCATTCCTTGTTCTTCACTCAAGCAAAGCTCCTTTGAATTCAATATTAGGAGGGCTAAATGGAGTCTTCCATCTTCCTCCAGGATCTTCACCTAGCTCCCCCTGCAGCCAATGGAGAGACTGAGGCCCCTAAAGATTAATTTGGGAATGAAAAAACTGTACGACAGTCTACCTTTTTGATTAATAAGAGGAGATTTTCCTGTTAGAGCTAACTTTCTAACAGGTGCCCAAAACAGGAAGCAATAGTTACAAGGAAAAACTGACCCTGATGTCTCCCTTTCAATGGATATTCAGCCTGTTATTATAGAAATAGATTCCTGGCTCCAGATCAGTTTTGCCCCAAGCGTATTTCTAGAAAAAGCCACATCAAAGCAATAGTCTAAGCTGCCAGCTCCCTGTTTGTGAAAACCCAGGGGGGGCTTGGTGGAATAACAATGAACCACCCTGTAGAGCTTTCCAGGGGAAATGGAGTGGTGACCCACACAATGGAAAGTGAAACGTTTAGCCTTTTGCAAGAGAACAAAACATTCCCCTCACCCCCCAACAGGCTAGAACCCCAAAAGCCCCCTTAGATCCCTTTCTTAGAGGGAGGGGCCGGTTCAAAATGCAATCTGCTAATGCTGATGTAGGAATAAGAGGTTTCAGCTTCTTGATTGTTAGAGTCCTTCATAGGAAAAGTCTACACACCTGCCAAGGTCCTAGAACAGAGGTGGGCGAACTATGGCCTCTGGGACCCTTCTGCCCAACCCCTGAGCTCCTGGCCTGGGAGGCTGGCCCCTCAGCCTCGGCTCACGACGCTGCCGGTGCAATGCTCTGGGCGGCGGGGCTGCAAGCTCCTGGGGCAGTGCAGCTGCAGAGCCTGGCCTGACCCGGTGCTCTGTGCTGCGGGGCGCATGGCTGGCTCCAGCTAGGCGGCACGGCTGTAGCGCCTCCAGGCAGCGTGGTGAGGGAGCGGGGGAGTTCGGGGGCTGGTCAGGGGGTGTGGATGGGGGCGGGGCAGTCAGAGGGTGGGGAACAGGGGGCTAGAATGGGGGCAGGGGTTCCAGGGACGGTCAGGGAGAAGGGGTGGTTGGATGGTGCAGGGGTCCCGGTGGGGGGGGAGTCAGGAAGGAGGGGAAGGGTTGGATGGGCCAGCGGGGGGCAGTTGAAGCAGGGGTTGCGGGGGTGGTCAGGGAGCAGGGGTCTTGGGGGGGGCAGTGAGGAAGGAGGAGGGGGTTGGATGGGGTAGCGGGGGGCAGTTAGTGGCGGGCAGTCAGGGGACAGAGAGTGGGGGGGTGGATGAGGCAGGGGTCGGGGGGGGGGTCGGATAGAGGGTGGGGACCAGACCACACTTGGCTGTTTGGGGAGGGACAGAGAGTGGGGGGGTGGATGAGGCAGGGGTCTGGGGGTGGGTCGGATAGAGGGTGGGGACCAGACCACACTTGGCTGTTTGGGGAGGCACAGCCTCCCCTAACCGGCCCTCCATACAATTTTTGAAATCTGACATGGTCCTCAGGCAAAAAAATTTGCTCAAATCCCACTGGAGTTTCTCCTTTACTAAAGAAAGATGCACCTTTTCCCCTCCCCTCCCCTCCAGATTTAACATGTGAGGTCAAAGGGGTGACCCAACAACTGAGTCTCATTTTAAAACACTTGCTGCTCTTGATAAACTGCCTGGTGAAGGTAGTGGCCTGAAGTCACTGCAGTCGCATGTTTTATCGGGCTCAGACACTTGTGGAGTCTAAATGTTTCCTGCTGGAGGCCTGGGGTTTGCATATCAGCCTAGCAACAGTTAGAGTGACTGCTGCAACTAAATGAATAGCTTTCCTCACTCCCTGGTATATTAGCAATCCCTAGAGAAAGGGGCCAAGTCACAGCCATCCTGCATTAACCCATTCCCTGGTCTCTTGTGAACGCGGGAGACCAAGAAAACCAGGCTGGGGTTTGGGAGAAGCCCTGATGTGCTGGGGAGACGTGTCAACGCTGGTGGTGGTTAGTTAAATGTGAAATCAGCCAGCAGCCACAACAGCTAATTTGTTCAATTTGCTTGCAGTGTTCCAGTTGCTAGGGGCTTGATGTGGCGAAGTACTGAGCAGGTCCTTGAGCTGCTAAGTGCCCTTTACTCCCATGGTGACACCCCAAGAGAAATAGATGCAATTTCTTTTAGAAGACCAGAGCCTAGACAAACGGACTGAAGAGGTGTGGAATAGCAGTTGGTGCAAGGCAGTGTAACACTATCACTAGAACAGGCAACTGGGAGTCAGATCTCTTGAGTTCACCTAACCTTTCTGGGACTGCGTTAACTTCTCTGTAGATAAAGTATACCAGCACCTACATCCGAAAGTGGAGGCATCCCTTTTGCCTGCAGCCACCCATATTTGCAAATCCGGATGGATACATGCATCACAAACTGAATGACTGCACAAGCAGGTGGTAGGGTTTGTGTCTCTTTCTAAAGATGCTTTGCCCACAGCTCAAGCAGAGCCTGTTGAGAAGTGTAACACCATCGCATTTTAACTTTACATAGTTTAGGGCAGGAAGTGAATCAGAGTATCGGGGCCAGATGGAATGAATGGGGGTGGGATGCTAGCCTTAAGTACCATGGGATCCTTGATAAGTGCAAAGAGCCAAGGACCTGGGTTATCAATTTCATTGAAAAACACAGGCCTGTGCCTGTTCTCATCTGGCTGGAACCAGGGTCCAGGATTGATTCCATGGGAAGAGGAGTGACCCCTACTGTATCTCCACCTCATTTTCCACAGCTCAGTGAATCTTCCTCAGATGTCTCCCAGGCAAGCATTGAGATCAGCCAGCCTCGCTTAGCTTATGAGACCAGTGCCCAAAGGGGTGAGGCCTAGCGGGGAAAAGGATGAGCATTTATTTGCACATTAACCGAGGTAACTGCGCTTTTGCTGCAGTTTACCCATTAGGCTCGAGTGCATGGTAATGATTTCACCCCCATGACACGTACAAAGAATGCTAACACCATCTGTTTCATTTTCTGGCTGGAACGAGCTTTCCCTTCCTTTCTGCCACCCTCAATCCTGCCAACGTAGAGATTCCCTTGTTTAAAAAAAAAAACAAAGTCTGGATTAAAAACCATCCCTACAATAGGTTGAATAACAAAGTCAACTGACTCTGTTGCATCGTGCCCAGTGAATGGCTGCCACATATCAGGATATTGTCAAGGGGGGTAGAGGGGGGCAGTCATGTGTTTTACTAGATGGTTCCTGGAAAAGTTTCTGTTCAGCCTGATAGAATGCCTGGCTGCTGTTATCTCTGCACTTGCACTTAAATGGATGTGCTGCGTCTGCTTGCCAGCTATGGTGGTGGTGGAAAATTTCTTAAACTTAATAAAAAAAAAAATCCTCCTGTGATACAATAGAAATTGGTTCTTCCTGTGACCTGAATAATAAACAACTATAAATGGTAATCCAGGCTGTGCATGTTTTCAAACCCTTGTAGTACACACGTTTAGAATGATGATATGAGCACTACGTGGGATGGGAGGGGGGAAGCTGGCCTTGTTGTTGAAAACCGAGCTGAAGGGCTGAGCCGTCGTCCTCTCTGGGAAACGCTGCCGGCAAGGATTCCATCTTTCTTCTCATGCCAGCTTCCCCCACCATTTGTTTATTTATTTATTTATTGACATGGAATTGTTCCAGCCTTTCTTAGAGTGGTTGCAATGCTAATCAACGAGGATGGGCGCAAATGATATAGTTGGCCGTGGGGAGAGGGAGCATGTGGGGGCAGGAATTGGAAATCTGAATTTCACAAACAACCCTTCTTATTACTGAGAGCTGACTCCACACAGCAGATCTCAAACCTGGGGTGTTTGACATTTGCATCTGGCTCAAGATCTGAGTTTTGCAGCTTGAGTCTATTGGTGACAACACCACCACCAATAATAATATCAGAATAGATCTATGCACTCAAAGGAGCTAGAGCAGAGTAGCTCTGGCAAAGGGAAGAGTCTGTCTCAGATAAGGATAAAGAGTGTGGGAAGGAGATTGAGGCCCATGCTTGTTAGAAATGCGCATCCAATTGTGTGCCTAATTTTCTCGCAGTTGCACTTGCTGTTATGATGATTGTGCACACAGCTGCAAATGCAGGAGCCTGACCAGTCGGATGGTTAAATTCCTGTGTTCGCTCGAGCTCCTTCCATTGTGCTCATTGGGAGTCACACCTGAGATAACGCACGGAGGGGGGAATTTCCAGAAGAAAAGTCCAAGTGAGGCCAGAGCTATGCTAGGAGCCAGCAGTGAACAACTGAGCAGCTTATTTAGCTATGAATGGTTGGTTGAGTTGTGGTTTCTCATGGCAGCAGAGTGAAGGAAAAGCTCCACACCCCTGTTTCTATGGGGAGCCCTGACACGTCACAATGGAGTCCCGGATGTGGTTTATATGAAGTGTGTGTGGCGCTCTCTTTGCATTGCTGCACAGGAAAGGTTTTTGACAGCCCGGTGATGATTAAAATAAAGGGGATGGTAAATATGAAACTAGGATGTGCCCTGGGGCAATAAAGCCACAGCAAGCCCTTCTTAACCTAAACTCCCACTGCAGTCAATAGAAATGTGGACTGAGCAAGGCTCCCAGGATGTGGCCCAATTAGTTTTCTTTCCACTATTCCCCTGAAAAGTAACTTGCCTTTAAATTGCTGCAACCAATTCACAGGATGGATAAAAGAAAAAGCCAAAGCAGAGGGGTTGGTTCAAAGAGATTAGTATTATACCTTCAGCCAAAGATTTAATGAATGCAGGGACTTCCCAGGAGCATGTCTCTTATTCCGCACTCCCCCTCACACCCTTTGCTCCACTCCTTTTGCTATTCAGATGCAGAACGATGCCAGTTCAAATGCAGAAGACAGTCTCAAGGCATGGGGAGCAAGTAATCATTTTTTGGACAAAGGCGCTAAGCAAGCCGTGGCAAACAAACATCCTTCTCGCTTCCTACGGCCCCGAGAGCAAAAGCTCGTCTGAAACTGCCGAGCACAGAGGGACAGTGCTGGTGTGTGCAGTGGGGGTGGGGGTCTTCCAGGCGACTGGCAAGCAGTCCAATTCATTCTGTGCCTTGCAGGCTGAAACCAAACTTAGGGCAGAGTGACAAACAAATCAATGGTAACAAAAAGGCTTTGAGCCCCGAATAAATGAGACTCCCAGTGTTCAGGTTTCACGTGCACTCTCATTTTGCTGACACATGGCACAGGCATTTGGTCGGATTGTCACCCGGGTCCTAACTTCAGCCAACAATACAAACCCCATATAGGAACCAGCTCTGCATTAACCCTGAAGCTCCACACCTCACACTAAAGGACATCAGATACGTATTCACAAGTGGCATCCGCCCATTCTTGTGCTGTGCTGGGGTAGCATGTGGATGTCGGCCTGGGCCTCGCTGAGGGATCACTGTCTTTCCGAATGCTCTGGTTTGTGCTGGTGCCACATTAAACCATCATTATCAGCCATTTACAAACTACTGTTTGGCCTCTGCTTTCAAGCTCTTTTACACATCATGCCTTTAACTTAACATTTCAATAATAAGGGAAAGAGACTTAGGTAAAATTTTCCCCAACCCCTAAATGACACAGGTGCCTTTCAGTGAGACAGTGCTTGTGCGTATGAACAATTAGTGCTCCACAAGCTGGGATATAAATCTACCCTGAGGTACCACGCTGTGCACTCATATAGACCATGCTGCTGCATGCTAAAACATCCCTCGTGGGTATTTCTCAACCCCACTTGGACATGGGAGTGGGTCAACATGCCCTAGGGCACTTTCAGCGTGGCATAGCAGGGCTTGGCCGGCCCTGGGTGCCAATGGGGAGGGGGACCTCAGGCTGGCCCCCTGTGCAGGCAGGAGGGCTTGGGCGTCCCCGCAAGTGGTGGTGGGGGAGAAAGCGGGGGAGGGGGCTGGGGCCTGCCCCAGTGGGAGGGGGACCTCAGCCCAGCCCTGCGCCAGCAGGAGGCAGGGAGGTCTTGGGCCAGCCCCACGTTGGGGGGTGGGGTGCTAAGGCCGCCCTGGGGGTGTCCTGTTTTGGTCACCCTAAGCAGGGGCAATATGGACAGTTAATGTGAGGTAGATTTACACCCGTCCTGCTGCATACTAACTGTTCATGTTAAAAGAAAAGGAGGACTAGTGGCACCTTAGAGACTAACCAATTTATTTGAGCATAAGCTTTCGTGAGCTACAGCTCACTTCATCGGATCCGAGGGGGGTAAAACCTAGATGCCCCAAACAGGGATTAGGGTTCCACTGTGCCAGGCACTGCATACACCTCTGATGCAAAGACGCAGCCCTGAAATGCAGCCACTTCTGGTGTGGCACACAGCAAATGATGAACACTCATTGTAAGACTAAATAACAGTTTAAGACAAGCAGCAAAGAGGGAATAAACAACCCACATACTTCCAGGAGGTTTTACACAATGCTTCCAACTTTCTAACCTCAGCAGTGAGGTGTTCTGTGACAGCCCATAGCACAGCACGCTCATTGGGTGGAAAAAGGGTGGGGGAGTGGGGTAAAAATAGGAAACCACTTTTTAATGAAAAAAATGTTTATTTTTTAAGACATAGGTAAAAATTTCAAGCGCCTGAGTTCCATTTTCAAAAGTGACTTTGGCACTTCGGTGCGTCCGTGAGATTTGACTCTAAAGCGCTTTTGTAACTGATGCTTAGGCACATTTCCCCAATCCCTTTCAAAGCAGTTAATTCTCAGTGACGTAAACTGGTCACCTCTGATCTGCGACTAAAAGTCACCATTCTGGATGTGAGAAACAGGGCAGCTTTTAAAGCTGCTCTCTGGACTCAGTTTGGTCTACTGATATAATATATATTTAGGCAATTCTTTGGCTATGTATATTGCCATGTCCCGTGAACCATATAGTCCTAGAGTTCTAAATGTTCTATTTACCCAATAGACCATGCAGACGTCTTTAGTTTCAGCCTGGCCTGTCAATAAACAGCGATCTGCATTGTGCCTGAAGGTACTAATCCTGCTGAGAACTCGGTAGAGGCACGGTGTTAGCACATGTGGAAAAAGCCCATATGAAAATTGTTTAAATACGGTGGCTGTCTTTGCAGGGTCCATTGAGTGCCTGCCAAACTGGGCCTGACCTATGGATCATGTAGCCTGACAGCCTGGCTCCAACAGTGGCCAATGTCAGCGGCTTCATTGGACAATGTAAATACCCAAAAATGCTCCTAAAAGGGGCAACAGGCTCCTGTTTCCTAACCCTCAGTATTATGGGCTTTTCCCTTTTATACACACAAAACAGGGTTTAAGAATCATAGTTTGTAATCAGCATAATTGTTTTTCCCCTTCCACAAAAGGGTTTAAGACTTTTTCACATGCATTGTCTAAGGCAGCGGTTCTCAAACTGTGGGTCGGGACCCCAAAGTGGGTCGCGACCCGATTTTAATGTGGTCGCCAGGGCTAGCATTAGAGTTGCTGGGACCCAGCCAGGGCTGAAGCTGAAGCTCTAGTCCAGCCCCACCTGGGGCGGCATGGCTCAGGCTGTGACCCTCTCTCCACCCCACCCAGCGTGGCGAGGCTCGGGCCCAACCCCCCTCCCAGGGTTGTGTTGTAATGCTGTTGTCCGAAGGGGGGTCACAGTGCAATGAAGTTTGAGAACCCCGGGCCAAGGTTTCTTGCAGACATCTCTGTTTTTATGAACCTGGTTCAGTCATTTGAAGGAGAGAAACCTCCTATATAAATCATGTTGGTGAATTTAGGTTTGCCGTACTTGGCCAAGATGTAGACACGTGTTGCATAGTGAAGCAACTTGTGGTTAAACCAGATGTTATCAGTCCTGGGTACCTAACAACAGCTGCAATATACTGCAGGGTTAGCGAGCCATAGAGCCAGATCCTTTAAAAGCGCACAGCCAGATTTTCAAGTGCGCAGTACCCACCCTTGGTGCAGGTTCCTAGACCTGCTGCAAATTCTAGCCATAGCTTTTATGACAACTGATGAGCTAATAAATGCCAAATTCTGACTGAACAAACGTGTTGTTCTCACTGGCTTTCAAATTGCCAGAGAATGATTATGTGACTTTAAAGCCATGTGATGACGACACACTTCTGTAACGCTTCCTATACAGGCTGTTGCCAGAGTCAGCATTTCTGCGGGCAACATACCAGGCAAAAGCAAGGCACTAAGCCCAGGTTTTGTGGAAGAATGGAAGGAGCAGCAGGTGAGTGAGCAGGATGCTTTTTCAAAGCCTTCTGCAAATAAGCAGGAGTCCGGCAACGCCTGCCTGGAAAGACCTACAGCGCGAACATGGACTGCATTGTTCTACAAGGGCCCAAATAATTAACAGCCACTCTCTATGCTGCAAGGAGGCCCCTGCCTGCTCTGAAATCAAAGAAGCTGCAAACTCCCTGACAGGCTCTGCCTACCTTGGAGGTTTGGTTGCACGCAGGGTAGTTACACTGATAGGGCTGTTCGAGCACAACTGATCGTGATGACGTGCTGCACTGCTGTAAAAAGTGACTTCACCAATGTAGATGCGGGCACAACCAGCCTACAGCCTCCCTGAGGCTTTCTAAGCATCCTGGTTTCCAAGAGCCAAACGAGCATCCGAACAAGTGTGCAAGCAGCTCAGGACAAAAGGTGTTGTCTGCTCTCTCCTTTGTTTTAGACAACTTTGCACAACGAATATAGGAGGGTTGGAGACCCACCACACTATGCTCAGTGAGGAGGAGTCTGGTCTGACTCCTGAGGCTGGGTACTGGGCGTCACGGTTCCTGTGTTCTCAGTCTTGCTTTGCTCCTGACTCACCAGATCAGTGTTTCCCAAACTAGGGCCGCCACTGGTTCAGGGAAAGCCCCTGGCTGGCAGGGCCGGTTTGGGCAACACTGATCTAGTTTCATCACTGCACTAGGTGAACATAGGCAATGCACTCCCAGCTCTTCGAAGACCTCAATTTTTTCACCTGTTGAATGGGTCTATTGATAAGGTGGACTATAAACAGTCCCTAAATCACAAAGTTAGTTTGGGGGTTAATTATATTTTGCAAAGTGCTTTGAATGAAAGCAAAAAAAAAAAAAGGACCAAGTTCTGGCTGGACTTAATACTATAATACAATAAAAATACTGGCAGCGGAGTCGAGAGGCCTGGAACTTAGGGGCCCTGGCGTGTATTCTGGGTTCTGCCACAGATTAGCTGTGTGACCCTGGGCAGGCCACAGCACCTGAGTTTCCTCTGTCTCCTCATTTGTTTACCTCTCTGTGACAGGGACTGTTTCTTATTATGTGTTCAGACAGGACCCAGCCCAATGGCTGGAGACCTCCAGGTGGTACCCGAGGACAAATAATAAAGAAGATCAAACGATTCGTTTTGTAATTTGCATCCTACGAACATACAGTTTTAAGGTTTTACGATTTCTTTGTTTAAGTCAATGCAGCTCCCCGCAGACTGTTGAAAATTTGTACCCTCGATTCACACATACACCATCCGCCTTCCAGCCATAACTGCTATCAGTAGGGATATGTAATAGATGAAATGCCAGAGAGAAATGCTTTCACACTGCCTAGCGCCTGCATCGCCCTCCAGGCGTTGTTACAGGGCAGAGTCCTGGCTTGGTACATGGTAAGGGTTGCATGCTAAGCTGATTTTAAAAAATTAAAACATTCTTCATTCACCATCTGGTTACAAAAAGAGAACTGACACTTACTCATTTCTGCAGTGAGTAAAAGTGAGATACAGCACCCTACTGCCATTTATTCATGGTGCAACTTTAAAGACCACAAACCTATTCGCTTGTAGGCTCTTCTAACTGCAAAGTGGAAGGCTGCTGGGTCTGAGCTGTAGAGCTGCCAGGATGATAAGAACCAGCTTCCTAATCTCGACTCCAGCAGCTGACAGGGTGACTCTGATAATAAACATTACCCTCTGCTTCCATACAGGGATGGCATGTTTTTAGATACTTTCAGACTGGCCTGTTTGTAAACTTGCCCACACGTCAGCAGGAGTCTTAGGCAGGAGAAGGAGAAAAAGAAAAATCTCAGTGGAACCGGGGTGGGAACACAATACAGTCAAACAGTGAGGCTGCCCCAGCAGCTAGCTGGCTATAAGCAGCCTAACCCTTCGGGAAAGGAGTGACTTAAGTAATATTGGGCAGAGCAGTGGTGCCTACCTGGCCATATTAGAGGTGACATAGGAAGGCTTTGGAGAGTCAGGGGGAGTTGGATGGGTTGCACATCCTTACAGATCAATTCTTAGGACAGCCCTGAGAACGATCCCAGAAAAGACCTTAAGTGGTGTCCCTACTGAGAGTCAACAATGGCAGAACGGGCTGCAGGGAGGGCTGGGGGTAGGGAGGGGCAGATGGCAGGGGATATGAAAGACAGGAAAGCTAAAAGCCCAGGGATTCATGCGTCCCAGTATATACCAGGGTCAAGGGCGGTGAGGTGAAGTCAGGCTCCACTATCTAGGGACTGGGTTGAACAAGGAAACCACAAACAAGGCAGAGC